ATCATTCTCTAATAATAACTGGTGCCAGTTGCTGCCGACCATATAATGAAAAGACTTATAACTTTTAAGTCATCTGCTGCATGGTGTCAGTATTAGCATTAGCATTTATTTCCGCCCTAAGATGCTTGAAACTTCTGCAACAAGGCATATTGCCGTTAGCAAATGTCTGTCAAACTGCGATCGTTATGGGGAAGATACCTGTAGACTGGAGAACTGGAGTTGTATAGCTCTTGTTCAGGACAGGAGACCATGGGAATATTACAGTTATCAGGGCATTGCCTTATTGAGCCTCCTGGTCCTGTTTGCGTGTGTTTCGTTGGCTTAGAGACAGCCTGTGACCGAATCCCTGGCAGTGACATCTGAACCTGGCTGCAGACATATGGGACCGTTGACATCCAGTCACTATATGTTAGTAGAAGGTGCTTCGTCAGACTAAATGACTTTAGGTCGATGTTTGTACGTTAGTTCTGGTCTCTGCTTAGATTGCATTTTGTTCATTCGTCTGTTTGTGTTTTACTCGAACAAGGTAGTCATGCGCAGCCAGGGCGATGAGTATGTCGCCTATAGGATATGTCGAGACGAGAAGGTTGCTGTTTGAAGACTTTGTTTTGTTGTCTTCTTTTGAAACTAATCTGCAACGCTTTCCAGGAAGGTTCGCGGCTGGCGGTAAGTATATTATTTTAAATGTAGAGCCCGGCGCTTTCTCGTTCTACCAGGTGCGCTTTGCAAATAAAAGGACAGTTGAAGTGGAAACAGTGGAACAGTTGAAGAAGTTCATGCACCTCTTGATCGTATTCTTTGTAATGGAAATTGGAGAAGGAGATCGTCCTTGAATTCGAATGGCCAGTGGCATTCAACGTGAACCGTCCTGATCTGTTTGAGTTATAAAAGGTGGAATTGAAGACTAAGCTGTATACATATATGTCTCTCTTCATCTCCATGTACACTTATGGTCTGTAAAAACTTCAATCTCGGATGCAAGTGCCTGAAACATGCTTTCTGAGACAAATTAGCCTTTTTCACGCGTTTCTACATGATCTAACCTGCAGTTATTCAAGACAGCCTTGTTGTATAGATGCTGCTTCTTCAGACTGAGAAGCCACGGTTGCGATGTTTTGGTAACATATATGAATGCTTCCAGAACGGAAGGCGATACAGCTGCTGCTTGTTCAGCCGAGTTATCAAATGCCCTGGGTACGACTAAGAAAGACACGTGGCAAATGTCTGCAAGGACTTTGCCCATTATTCATTAGGTTGTCTTCTGCGGAATCTGAAACGCTGGTACAGGACGGGTTCGTTCGCTCACATTCACTCTCTGTCGCATTTGCTTGCGCAAGCCCGAAGGAATGAGTGGACATCGAAACTGAGTGACTCATTTATTACAGCTTTTATGTACTATGTTAATGTGTATTTAGCGTTTTGTAACGTTTGTAACTTTTTGTTAAAGTTTTTATGATATATTATTTAAAATATAGCTTTTACCATTATTGGTGTAACAAGCCAGTTTAAAGTAACTCATTATACGTTGTATTGTTTATCAACGAATTTGACTGGATAATTATCATTACCACATAACTT